GTAATCCCGTCCTGCTTCCTCCCCGCGGCACCCCTGCCCCGCCCTGCGCCCTGCCGACCTGCTCCGCTGACCTCCCTCCGGAGAGGGAGCCTTCCCTGCCCCTGTGGGAAGCGTTTCTCTGGAGACCGGGAAGCCGCGCCACAGATTGTCGCTGTGAAAATTCAGTGAACGTACCTTGTGCGTTTTGTGAGTGGGCGACTCTTCCCGTTCTGGAATGACGTAAGGGTGGTGCCCCTCACCTTTTACGCCTCATTTGCCTGTATTCTGAGGACGTCCGGCTCACTGGCCTTCCCGGCTCTCTCCCTCCACATTCTCCGGCCCAGCCGTGGCCGTGCCCACAGGGCAGGTCTGAGGTGGGGGCTCTGGGCGCCCCTTCCAGGGTCGGAGCCCAGCGGAAGCCTGCTAGCAGGTGTCACCCGGCAGTTTGTTTGTTTTTAGTAACGGGAAGGGGTCGGACGTCACGTGGGCATGTGCTGTTAGAGGAGGGAGGAGGCACGGAAGCTACGAAAGGGAAGGTGCTGGCTTGTTGGGGAAAATTCCGTAGAAAGGAGACCATGCCCTAAACTTGGCTTCTCCTGTTGTCTTTGTCCAGGAAATTTAGGGCAGAAAGAACCCTGTTTTCCTTCTGTATACTTCTTTGAAGGTATTAGTGAACGATGAGGGTTTTCAAAGCCTGTCTGTGGTCGGCAGCAAATCCTCACATAGGCACAAGGAGAAACGTGAGTTGAAAAGAGAACTAACTTTTCTCAAGTGCCTTTGAAGTGCCAGGCGCGACTCTAGCCTGTTCCCTCCTGTGAACGAAACAGCCCTGCGGGGTGCATGCACTGAGAAGGGAGCCCTGGAGTCTGGGCCACACCGATCAAGGCTGGGGTGTCTGATTCCCACCCGGGCGAGTGATGGGGTTGCAGATCTAGGTGCGGCCTCAGACGGTGCCTCGTCTGCTGCCCGTCGGCGCCCCGTGGCGCAGGAGCACAGGGGCTGGACTCCGCCTCGTCTTGACTGCAGATTCCGTTTGCCTCCTTATAAAATGCAGGGGCAGGAGTCCCCGGCACACAGATGCGTAAGGAGGGCCAAAAGAACCGATGCGCAGAGGTGCTTTGTAAGCCGGACAGTGACGTACTGATATTTGCTCACGGAGATTGTTTTCTTTCACAGACGGGCACCCAAGAAGACGTTAGTTGTTGGTTGGGAGTTTGGTCAGCAGCAGACCACACATTTGCTTTTTTTTTTTTTTTTTTTTTTTTTTTTTTTTTTTTACCTCCCATAAGTGTTTGTTTATTTTTGAGAGAGACCGGGCATGCTGGGGAGGGGCAGAGAGAGGAGGGGACAGAGAATCCAAAGAAGGCTCCGTGCTGACAGCAGAGAGCCCAGTGTGGGGCTTGAACCTGTAAACCGCGAGACCGTGACCTGAGCCAAAGTCGGATGCTTAACCGACTGAGCCACCCAGGCACCCCCACATATTTGCTTTTATGTCCTTCTGGCTGTGGAAGTTTTTCCTTCTGCTTTTAGAATTGTTTCATTTCTGCAGTAGATATTAATGATACCGTTTACACGCCACGCCCTCTATTAGGTGTTGGAGATAGAGCGGTGAAGGAGGCAGATAAGTTTCTGTCCTTTTTGAAACACTGAAACTGTACAGATGATTGACATTTTCCTCCTGTTGGGAGAAGAGATCCCAAACCTGGTTGGCTTCTTACTGCCCCGATACATATTTTAAGTCCGTGTTAGATAACTCTTTAAGTACCACTCAATTATGCGGATGTTTTGGGAGTAGCTGTTGAGCTGAAGAAACCATGAGAAAGGTGGATTGGGTGGGGGTTTCGCACGATCAGCCCTTGTTTCTGCTTCCGGGCAGGGGGGCAGTGAGGACGTTTGAAAATCACTGTGGTGTTTCTGTCAGAGCCCGGGGTATTTTCCACTGTGGGGAAGAGCGCTTTGGTTAAAGAGTACTTTGAGCTTTATTTACAAAGTGAATCTACCTCAGTTCTGAGTGGCTGGAGTTGCATTTATCCGCATCTGGGACTCGGAGGGCTCCTCCACTTCCCCACGTGTCGTCCAGGATGCCCAGCTAGGTGTGGTCCAGCCGCAGACCCTGAAGACCCCAAGCCTCCACCCCCCCAGGAAAACTGGAACAGTCTGTAATCTGGCTTGTTTTGGATCCCAGGTCTCGAGATAGGACTCCAAATGTTCCTTCTTTCCAAGTAGGTGATCCTTTGTGGCCCTGGGAAGCTGTCCCTTGTTCATCTCTGGTTCCTGTTTTGGTCGTCTGAGATGCGGTCAAGAGGAATGATCATAGAAAGCGTGGTGTCAGTTCTCTTCTGACTTTTAAATGGCGTAACGGAGACCTTTGTGTCACCGGGGCTGCTCCGGCTATTTCCGACCAATTCACTGGGGCCTTCAGTGACTCAGCAGCCTCCTGACTTTTTTTGCTTTTAAAAGGAGCTGGACTTGCACGGTGTATGGAATGCAGTTAACATCACAGCCGACGCCTGTGGCCCGTAGTGATGGCGGTCGGGGAAGGTCGGGCGAAAGCGTGCTCCCCAGAGGTGAGATGAGGAGGTCAGGACACTGGGGCCGCCGTGAGCAGGATTGTATGGACGCTGTGCATGGGGAAGGTATTCTGAGCGAGGGAAGGGGTGTGAGGAAAGGCCAGAAGGTGTAAAGAGGACAGGCAGCGTGTGAACAAGTACCTCTGGAGGGCGTGGGGGTGATGAGGCCACGGCAGCGAGGCCCGTGGGTGCCAGGCCAAGGGGTTTAGCCAGCGCCGGGGCAGAGCCACGGAGGTTTGAAGTGGGAGGGCGACCGAAGGCTTCCCGAAGATGAATCTGGCGTAGTGTGTGGGATGAGTTGGATGTGCAGAAATGGGTGGAGGGTCTCTCTTCTGGCAAGTTCTGTGGGACTGATTCTCTCTGAGGTGGTTCTCAGATGGGGAGGGAGAATATCAAATGTAGGAAAATTAAAGCCCGCCTTGATTAGCAACACTGCCGCCTCCCGTGTATAATAATATTCTGACGTGCACTTTTCAAAACCGGTCTTTCGGAGATATTTTCCATACCGCGTAAAATGCTTCTGGGCGCTCAGGAGGGTCAAGTAGCAGGTTGCCATGAAGGGGGCTCCGCGCAGGCCCACGTGCCTTCTCGGAGTTCCTCTAAGGGCTGGGCCAGGGTGCGGGACCCTGACAGTGGCGAGTAGGCCCGCCGAGCCTGTGGGGGCTTTCCTTTTGCGGGGCGTTCCCCAGCAGGCCGGGCGGGGGTCTGGGGTGCAGATGTGAGCCGGAATAAAAGGGCTGCTTCTGCAGACCTTTGTGATACTGGAAAGGGAAGCGTGACGTTTAATGTGTACTTCTTGATCGAGGATTTTGATGACCAGCTCGTGTCTGTAGTAGGAATTCTTAAGCCATCATTTAAAACTTCCCTGTTGAGAATGAGACACTGACAAATTATTTGTAATCAATGACTCCTTACGCAGAAACGAATGAGCATGGGTAGGATTTAATCTTACCCCTGAAAAAAGGGAAATCGTTGCACTTTTATGCAGGTAGCAGACACTGAGCATTTGTGACAGACGGGATGCTCTGTTGGGGCTGAGTAACCAAATGTGCTCTAATTCTTAAAATCGGTAAGATTTTTTAACTCTGTTGCACTGTAAGTTCATGTTTAAGAATTCAGCTAACTGGCAGTAATTAGGATGCAGATACATTAAAAACATCTCAAGTGTCGATAACTTATCTGTGCAGAAGTCGCCAGAAAGCTGCAACACAAAAACCGATTTTATGGAATAATACAGTTGTAACTACTTAATGAAGAAGTTCTCCTTAAGGGAGTTTTATTATAATTTTTATTGTAATTGTAATTTTATTGTAATCACTGATAATGGACATGAAACAGTACTGTAATAGTGTAAGTGATTAAATACTAAATTCTGTGGAACAAATTAAGTACTTGAGAGTTCGGAGGAAGGAGCCAACCCAAAGAATGGTAGTTGGGAAGAAGCCTGTTGGAGGTGGGGGGCTTGGACCACTGGGTGAAATTCCCCAGCTGCAACCAGCGGGGCGGCCTCCCGAAGCCAAGAGAGAGGGTCGCCAAGAGAGAGGGGCCGTGAGCCTGCAGCACCCTCAGGACCTGCCCCACCAGGCCCTGGGGCCGGAATATTCCTGCAGCAGTTCCTGCCCCCTCCCCCGGAGGGGTGGCTGAGACTACAGATGTGATGTGGGGCTGCCGGGGCCCAGGAAGTGTTCCGCAGGCGGAAGTCGTGTCCGGCCTTCCACACTCTGGTGTGATGGAAGGTGAGAAGCTCCTGAAGGGTCTGACCAGAGAGGTGGGACCTGACAGGGGCAGATTCATAGAGGCGGCTAGCGGCTGAGTTGTGTGCGCATGCTCTGTGCCTCAGATCCGTTGTCAGGGGGCTTTCTTCTCGGAGAGGAAGGGAGCACCTTGCCCCAGGCCTCCTGGCTGCCCAGAGGGGAGGCAAGGTTTCAACATAGGCCTGCCTGGCTCCAGAGTCCGGGTTCTTTCTCTTTCTGCCAGACTGCGTCTGCCAGGGAAGCCACCTGTCAGGGACTGATGACCCTGTGCAGAAGAGGTGTGGCCCACTCAGGTAGTTACTGCCACTATTAAAAAGGTGTGTGAGCTCACTGCCCTCCCCCCCCCCCCCCCCCCCCCCCCCCCCCCCCCCGCCCCTGCCCCGCCATCCCCAAAGAAGAGGGGAAGAGGAGGAAGAAGAAATAGGCCACCAGTAAGCACATCAGTGGGAAAAGGGAACTTGAGGATTGGCTGAAGAAGGACAAGATGAGTCACAGATGGTGGCACGGTTTGAACGAAGGCAGGTTCCGGTAACCTGACTTTCCTCGCTCTGGGGTTGGGCTCCAGAGGGCTCAGGCCCCAGTGGCGGATCCTTATGGGTGGGTACAGGCCCAGCGGTCACTTGAGGCTCTGCGGTAATCCCTGCTTGCGGTAGGCGCCATGTTGCCTGGCGGGTTGTGCTGTTCTGGTTCTAGTACGATGGGTGCCGTGGGGGGTGGGGACGGGAGTGACCTCAGGTAAGAGGTGTTCTGACTGTTTCTTGGGCCTACGTCTACTTTTGTGCCTTCTAGAACAGTGCCTTTCACCAGTGTTGAAGGACCAATTTTAAAAATTTCCAATCCATTGGAACTGATACTTTTCTAAAAATAAAAACAAAATTACTGGAAAACAAAATTGAAAAAGATGTGCAGAGTATAAATTCTAATTTTTTTATTAGAGTCGACAGATACAAAATTACCCTGATTGCCATAAAAAGTTTCTAAATGTTCTTTTTTTTGAAAAAAAATTGTTTTTAATGTTTATTTATTTTTGAAAGACAGAAAGAGACAGAACATGAGCAGGGGAGGGGCAGAGAGAGAGCGAGACACAGAATCCGAAGCAGGCTCCAGGCTCTGAGCTGTCAGCACAGAGCCCAACGCGGGGCTCGAACTCACGAACTGTGAGATCATGACCTGAGCTGAAGTCGGATGCTCAACCGAGTGAGCCACCCAGGTGCCCCTAAATGTTTATTCTTAATTTCTGTGCTCAGTCTTGACTGCAGACCAGTAAACTGTTCACAAACTGGTACACCTTGAAAGCAGTGATCTAGGAAGAAAATTGTTAAGCAAATTAGTAAATAAGACGTTTGGGGAGTATTTACACCATTTAAGAGTAGAAGTCTTTCAGTTGGCATTTAAAATACTTGAGGCGTTTGTGCACATATGATCTAATTCCAGATGACATCTTTTCAGTAGAGTTCCTTGGTGGGGGGCAGGGATGTAAAATAAGTCTCCCAAGAACTGAGGCTGATGTGGTTACTGTGAGGGATCTGTAAGGTTAATTCTGTACTAGTGATGGTACTTGGAACATCCAGTCCAGAGCTTCCACTTCAAGCTCTGTTGTCCCTGAGAGCCAGTGTGTGTTCTTTTGCTCATGTATGAGCATTAAACAGTAGTATGTTTTCTCTGTCAGTTTTTGGCTTGCCTTTGAACTGATTTTTATAGTTTTGGGCATAATTTTAGATATATTCTTGAAGGGGGAAGTTCCCAAAGCAAGCTCTAAAAAAATTCTCAAAGAGTTACACCTGCTGATATAAGAGATCATGTAACAACTTAATTGTTCCTATTTCACATTTGTTTTTTGTCACTAGCTGCCAGTGTTTTTTCACTTTCTGTTTTGGGCATTTCTGACGTTTGCTGATACCCCTTTGCTCTGGAATGATTTGCTGTGGTCCCTTAGCCTAGCTGCTTTTTCCCTGCCTTTAGGGTCCAGCCCGGGGGCGGCTTCCCACAGGCACCCTGTCCCTGTCTGGGGGGGTGGGGGCTTTCTCGGCTTCTGCAGCCCTCAGCCCTCTGCTGAGCGCGGCCGCCAGCGCACCTCCATGCTGACTCCCAGCCCCGCCGGCCCCTTTTCCTCCTTGCTGCAAAGTCAGATCTTCCTTGTGTTTTGTGTCTTTATGTTACACTTTTCAGGGCTCTTTCATGTGTATATTCTCTTATTTCATCCTCCAGACAATCCCATGAGGTTGGTAGAACAGAGATTCTCATCTCCGTTTTAACTGAGGTGAGGCTGGGAGAGTGTCCGCATGGCATGTATCTTCGTTCCTTTGCCCTGTGCTCTTAGAGTTCCTGTTCCACTCGGTCCAGACTTCCCGATGTTGGGGTTTCGAGTTTGCTCAAAGATGCCTATAATTTTGAGGTCCTCCTTTCTACTCAGTATTTATGTGTGTTATTTGAAAAAATGAAACATTAGACTACTCAGCACAGTGGCACAGGCCCCTTTGGAAGAAAGAAATCTTTAGAACCTAGCACAGGGGTTGGTCAGCAGACAGCCGGGGCCATGGCCCCAGAGCAGTGCCCAGGGCCGGAGTGGTTGTGTCAGAGGACACGCTCAGCAACCTAGTTGTCTGCGCCTGTGACTTTCAACTAAGACTGGAGGGTGGTGTCCTTTATTTCCACAATATCAGCCCAGCGTGTTAGATGGCATGGAGCATTTCTCGTGAAGGAAAAAAGTCGTACTTTTAGGGATTGAGGGGGAGGTGCAATGAAAAATCACTTTTGGTCCAAGTCAGAAGTCATTTGCTTCTGACTTTGGGGTGTGTTGGGTGTGTGTTCCTCCCATGTCCTTTATGGTCAAACAGACCAGGGTTCTACATCTAGCCACTTACTTAGGTAGGTATGGTGACCGTGGCTGAGTTACGAACCTCCCTAAGCTTGTTTTCTCATCTGTAAAATGGGGCAGTATTCTCTGCTCTGAATGATCATCGTAAGGGTAAAAGGCGATGTGTGTTGTGCACCTCGAGTGTGGGCTCAATAAATGAAAGGAACCCAAAAGCTAATACAGAAGAGGGACTGACCCAGTAAGAAGGCTCTTGCTTATAATTGGCTGCAGCAGTGATTCTCAAATCTGAGTGGGCATCGGAATCACCTGGAAGGCTTGCTGGGCCCACCCCTCTAGTTTCTGATTCCTTTGGTCTGGGGTGGGGCTTGAGAATCTGCATTTCTGAGTTTCCAGGTGATGCTGCTGCTGCCACCGCTGGCCTGGGGACCACACTTTGAGAACCCCTGGGCTACAGGTAACTCACCAATGAGCATTTAGATGCTATAGATCTATTTGCAAGCTGAGTTTTATGTGGTTAGAGGTACTCTGTTAGAAAATGCTTGGAATGAATGCATTTTACAAATCTGAATTTAGCATCTCAAGGATTTTCCCTCCTGAAGTCCAGGAGTCTTTGTTAAAGAGATTTGAAGAAGAATGAGTCGTGAAAGTAATAGTTGTAAAGAGTCTAACGTTATCAAATTGGCTAATGTGTGTGAAAGTGCTTTTACAAAATGCTGAAAACTGAAAAAAATTTTTTTTAAATACCTTTGTTTTTAAGATTGAACATCATAATAGAGTATAAGATAGTGTAACTGTTAGATTTCTCATCTCAATGTGCTGTTTACCGTATGTATTTTTCTCTTTCTCCTCCAGGCTGCTGACTTGAGTAAACCAATAGATAAAAGGATATACAAAGGAACACAGCCTACTTGTCATGACTTCAACCACCTAACAGCCACAGCAGAAAGTGTCTCTCTCCTAGTGGGCTTTTCCGCAGGCCAAGTCCAGCTTATAGATCCAATCAAAAAAGAAACTAGCAAACTATTTAATGAGGAAGTAAGTAGCACCCTGTCTTAGCCGTTAAGAATCCCTTTAAGAATTTACACATTCTTACCAAGGGCAGTGGGCCTTCGTTTCCACATTGGGCCAAGCCCATTTCTCACTCTTTCAGCCGTCCTACCTAGTGTTACCCTTTCAAATGTGGTGAATTAACTCGTTGAATTCTACCTGTTCTTCCTTGGGATAACGGTTTTATGCGTTTTTTTTATGGAGCGTGCTCAGGTGTCTAGAGCAGGTGCTTTGAAACTCTTTCATAATGGGGGCAGGGACGAAGCTGATACTTGGTGTTTTATCATTTAAATAAGAAAATACAGAACTCCAGACCTTGTTCACATCACCAGAAAATTTCATGCAGATCAAAGAACCTGATAATAATTCCTTAGGCTGCTTAAATTGTAGCCCAGCCTTTTGTGTCTGTGTTTGACACGTGTTTGGCTAAGGAGCAGTTTTTTTTCTCTTGAAAATATTTGCTGTAAAATCACCTTTGACATAGTTTGAAGTCCTGGCACTTAAAATTGGATCACATGACACAGCTTTTGCCAGTGTTACAGCATGTGCTGGGTTTCTAGTATCTCCAGTTTTGCTCTGGAAGGAGCCGTGTGTTCAGGAAGATGTCAGAACTGTTAAACATGGCAGATAGAAGTTGCCAGATAGATTCTGTTTGTTAAAGCTACCGGAGTGGCTTTTTGGCCCCAAGAGTTGCCATTGCAGATTCGACGTTCTTCAGTGTGACTCTCCCGGCAAATGGAAAAGATACAGTGGGCTTGCTGACGTAGAAGCCCCGGGTCCGCAGCGTTAACTTGTCCCCTCAACCCTGATGTGCGAGGGTCAGGTCACCTGGGATCCCTCAGGAAGGACAGGTGGTTTTGCACTGTTGCCTGGTTTTGCTGTCATTAACTTGGAACAGAAGTGCGTTATGGATTCTGGTTTATAAGAAATAATTCTTTGTGGGCAGGAATATTCAATTTGACGCAAAGTTGCAGTTAAAGTTTGGATTCTTTTGTAGTTGTCACGGCATGCCGCTGTCCACCCCCGCCGGTCCCCATCCACCGTCTCTGTCTGGCATCGCCAGCGGATTCGGCGAGATCTTGTGAACCATGCCATCTCTGCTTCTGGTTTCATCTGAGTTGACTGGAGACGGGACTTGCCATATGGACTGACAGAACTATAGAAGAGCAGCATTTACTCCGATTCTCTGTTTTTAGAAGTCTTAAGTAGAAAATGGTTTTATTGACCGACGTATTTTATTAATAGTACCTGGGGAAGTGATCTCTTCCTAGCCGAATGGTTTTGTTGTTGTTGTTTTATTTTTTGTTCTTTTTTTTTTTTTTGGTGGCCATTGGCGGGGAGCAGCCAGCCTTCTCTGCACCTGCCACCAGAAACTGAATTTGGTTTGTGTCTGGGTGAGGGACACAAGGGGGAGAGATTACAGCCACCTAAAGGGCTGTTGGTAAACGAGGTCGGGGGATGCTCTGGCTGAGGATGGCACAGGATGCCACTGAGAGAACAAGAAGGGCTTGTGTGTCATCATGGGGGAGGTGGGAGGCTCAGGGCCCTGAGGGCATCGGCCGCATCCGTCCCCTGCTCTGGACAGCGGAGGGATCGCAGGCTAGGAAGCAGCTCCTCACGCAGCGATCGAAGCCTCAGTTTTCCCCTACTGGTCTTCTGTTTCATGTGAAAAATGGCTGTTGAGAATGCTTGGGCTGTGTGTGCTTAAATGCCAACTTGGCGTTTATAGCTTGAGGCTGAGATTTGATTGGCTTTCACAGTAAGGAAGTTCTTTGGCTGTGCGGATACCATTCTCCTCAGGTTTTGGTCAGGATGTGTAAGAGCAGGGTCGTCAGAGGCGTGTCCTCTCAGAGGCCATGGTGTAAGATTTAGAGGTTTGGGGGCGGCTCACGTTTGTCCTCCGCGCCGTCAGTCGGGTAGCTGCTGCCCTTTACAGACAAGGACAATCCAAGAGAAGGTAAGTGAGTTGTCCCAGGCAGGCAGCGAGTTGACGCTAGAGTTGGAACTGGAAATCACTTCCACGAGGGCTCCCTGGTCACACACTGTAAGCCCCACCGCGTGTGGTCGCCAGACAGGCAAACCCTTGTGCTCCTAGGAGCCGCCAGTTTAGTGAGGTGGACGGACAGGGTACTGGGACGTGTGCCAAGGGATATGTGTTAACCGTATTCTTTAGCATGTATCAAGTATCCCGAGATAAGGCAAAAGTTAAGTTCGATGGAGGAAGTCTAGAAGACTTCCAGAAGGTGACACTTCTTCTGGGTCTTGAAAGAAGCATAGGAATTGGGAAGGTGTGAGAGAGGCCTTCACAGCTGGAGAAAACAGCTTGGTGTGCCGAGGAGTGCTGGGTGACCAGGCGTGACCAACTCAGCACGAGGGCCTCAGAGAGTCGGAGCCAACAGAGAAATCGGAACCAGATGGTCAAAGTCCTGACACGCCGAGAAATGTGGATCTGACGCTGGAGGCTGTAGGGGGAGCTTCGGGCTTTTAATCAAGGGAGTGCCCGTGTCAGATGTGTCCTTTAGAACGCCTGCCAGCACTCGGGTTGGGTTGGGGAGAATGAGGGTAGCGCGGCCAGCGGGAGGCCGGGACCCGTTCCGGTGCGAGCTGGGGTTTTTGAACGAGGGCGGTGGCCATGTCCCGTCCCATCGGCAGACCTGGCTTACTTACCACGTGCCCACTCTGGGCCTGCCCTACGGCCACCCCTCACGCACACTTAGGTCAAGTGCTGACGTGTGATGATGTGTGGGGAGGCAGAGGCCTGAGAGAGGCCGGAGGAGGGAGGGAGCGGAGACCGCTGTAAATGGGGCGGGGGAGAGCATCTCGGGTGGGAGGTGCTGTGCTCTAGGTACAGAACTGGAGACAGAGCGTCCCCGCGGGAGGCAGGGCAGGTGGGGGCCCTGGTGGAGGAAAGAGACTGGGCACAGGAGAGCCGCTCCCAGGGTGCCCGGGGAGGGCGAGACCCCGGGGCTGTGCCACGTAGGCCGGGGCCCAGGTGTGCTCCCGGCTGGGGCGCACGAGCCCACGGAGTGAAGCAAGGGCACAGGGCCGGCAGGGGGTGGGGGGCGGGTTGGAAGATTACCGAGGCTGCTGCTTGGAGCCCGACTTCGAGGCGGGCGCACGGAGAGGGGTCTGGCTGTCATCCGTATGCCGGGTAAGCTTGGGAAGGAGCAGGTTTGGGGGAGCGGAGGCCTGGTCTGTACTTAATAAGCTTCAAAGGCCTGTAGGTGTTAGATACGTGGGCCTGGGGCCCAAAACTAAAGGCAGAAATTCGGGAGTTGGGCTTGTAAATAGCCCTCACGTCCCTGAGATTAGATGAAAGTTCTGTTGAAGGCGTAGTGAGAGTGAGGAGTGCCAGGGACTGTGTCCTCCCAGACCCTGGCCCCCGTCACGCTGCCTCCGGAGGAGTGCTTTCAGCGGTTGGTGTGTTTCCCTACAACTTGGGGTTGGCCCGGCGGCCGGGAACACGGAGCCTGGAGCCTCACTGGTGACCTCACCTCTCCTCACCGGGAGGACGGGAAGGACAGACCCCCCCCTGGAGGTGTGGTGAGGGCAAGATGATTCGCAGAGGGCTCAGAGAGGGAGCCCTTGGTGGGCGCTCAGTAGACTTTGCAGGTAGAGGGGAGTCCCGGGGGCACCTTCCGCTCGGGGTTGGAAGGAGGGGCCTCTTGGGAGGTGAGATACCAGCAGTTTCAAAGGGGGAAAGAGTCCCTTTCCAGGACCACCCAGGCAGAGGATGAGCGTGTGTGCGGCGGAGCAGCTTATCACGCTGGTCCCGCGTGCGGCTCACCAGAGTGTTTCGCGCGGCTGCCCGTTGCACGTACGTGTACTCACGCGCACGCCGCGGTACTGACGATTCCACCTTCACCTCCTTCCCGCAGGTTCCCGGCACACGAAAATATCACACATGTTTGGACGGGTAGATGGATGGATGGAATGGAGTTAGAGTCTAGAAATCCACCCGACATTAAAAGTAGATGAAAATTTCTATCTAGGAATCAAGTATATCTTAACAGGTGATTCCCTCCCCCCCATTCACTCAAAAAATGAAAAATACTGTAAATGCTTGCTTATCGAGGTGCAGAGAAGACAGGAAGCGTCACCTGTAATTCCCAGCACACATCGTCAACCTCATCGTGTCTGTAGTTTTTATTGTTTTCGTGAGGTGAGACTGTTAGATTCACACCTTCCATCATCAGAGATGTCTGTGACCGCCTCCTCCCAGTCTGGCCAGTTGATCAGAGAGGTGAGCCCTCCTCCCTTCACCCCGCCAGTGTCCCTGTCCCGCCACAGGGCCCGGCCTCCACACCTGTTCAGCCCCGAAGAGAGGGCGCACCGGTCCTTTTCAGCCACCCTGGGGCAGCGGTGTCTGCAGGGCTGCTTCTCCAGTCTCTCCGCGGCTCCTGGGTTTCTCTTTGTGGCGCTGTGTGTGCGCTATGCCCGTGGGCCTCTGCTGGGCGTACGGGGCGCATCCGCTGAGCTCCCAGACCGCGGAGTGTGCCTTCCCTACACAGGCTCCTGGGGAGCAGAGCCCCCCACCCTCCCACCCCGGGAGCATTCAGCCTCTTGTGAAGCACCTGGAAGGGCTGGGGGGTTCGCTTTTTACCGCTAGTGGTTATGGTATCACTTTGTGTGTGATGATGAACTCAGACTTGTTTGTCTTTCTAGAAATTCTCATCATTTCAGGGGTGTATCCAGAGAGTAGTAACTTCAGAGGATCTTCAAGTATGTTTTGATAGTCGGGTAAGATGTGTGAGACGTAAAACCCCACCCGTGCTTGTCATCGTGGCTTCTGTCGTTGCTGATGTGTGGCGAGACCCTTTTGTCTTCGCTTTGCTCCCTCTCATGCGAGGCGAGGGCCGTCACGCTGGGTGGGTCCGTGCTCCTGTGGCCTTTGGGCGCGGTCCAGCTGAAGGGCCCACTGGAGGCGAGGCCGCGTCTTCTCTCTCGTTGGGACACCCAGCATCCCCGGGAGGGTAGAGCCGGGCCGA